AATAAAGGAAATCACAGCAAAACACTATGGTCATAAGTCGTGAGTTTCATTTTGTTTGAAATGTCGTCGAAATCACTGCGGTGCATCAGTTTCACATATATGGATTATTTTATGCGTTATTCATGATTCGATTTTGTTTCGTTCCATTCACAATCCCAACAGAAGTTTATAACTAGTAGCAGATGTAACATAATTACAATATAATTGAAGAATATGAAGACAAAATGAATGCAAACAAGAGTGAACGCGTCTGTCATCTGCCCATATGGAAAGATGTAATAGTTAATCGAAAACAATTTTCACCGCCAATGTCTATAAACATAAATTTCATTTCATTCATCGCATTCAACACACGCACATATATATATAATTCAGAAGAAGAAGAAAAAAACTGTACCGCACGATGCATCGAGTGCATCAACGGTCATGAATTAAACAAAACTGGCCGATGCAGCAATCGGTTGAATAATTTGCTTGAAAATGGTTTTGCACAGCAAAAGGTCAATTCTTTTAGCATTGCCTGTTCTTTTTTCACTCACCGGATGGTGCAATAGATTATATTCACCAGGATGTGAAAAATATGCAGGCGCAAATCTGATGGAAAATATTGTGTTTTTTTTATGTGTGTATGTATGTGACGAAAAATCAGTCAGCGATGAATCAGTCGACTTTTTTTTTGTTGCGACCCTTCTAGATCCAATGTTATATACACACTCTCTCTCTGGGATTGCGCGAAAATTCAATTTCAAAGGGAAAAAACTAATAAATTTATACATCAAACTCTGAACACCGACTCTCTAACCCCTCTCAAAAGCTGAAAGCGAGAAGGAAAACAATTTCCTGTATTGAAAATACCAAAAAGGTTATCACTTTTGTCGCATGGTTTTCTTCAGTTCCATCTTCTTCTTTTTTCCTTCTTCGAATAATATTAATATAATATCGAAAGTTTCTCAAGTTGAACAAGCAAGCTGTGTTCGTTTGAATGACGGCATACACCATTTCGCAGCTGACATATTAGGTTGTTCTTTGCTCAATGTGTGTGTGTTATTCGAGAATGACATACACACACCAATCCAAAACGCTAAATTCCCTTCGAATTTATATTTATATAGATTTTTTTTCGGTCTTCGTTTATCGTCAATTTCATTTTTGTTTCTCTCACAAAATATCTACAAAACAGGGGAACATTTTTGCAATGTGAATGGCATTATATTTTTTGTTTTTGGCTTTTTTCGTTAGGAATTTTTAGGAACATTTTTTTGTGGTTTTGATTTCGAATTTTATTCGTTGAATGAATAATTAATTACTGATATCAATTGAAAATGAACATAAATTGAATTTTATTCGTGGAACGCTGGCGATGGGATAACACGTATGTAAAATTCATTGTTTTACGCAAATATACAATATAAACTAACCAAAAAAAAAAAAAGAATGAAAACAAACAAACCAAAGTTTCAAAAAAAAAAAAAAAAAAAAAAAAACACTTACAAAATTTCATCAATTTATTTTTAAATAGTATTTATAAATAAGCTTTACTCAAAATTAAACGAAACAAAAAAAACACATTGGTTTTCTCATCGGTTTTAATACAATTTGAGAATAAAAAGACAAAACGAAAAATTTGAATTGGTATTAGGATATATGAATCGCTCAAAGTATATAATTTATAAATAAACTATTGATATTTGCTTAAATTTTGTGCATTTTGAATTAAACATAATTAACCGAAAAATTTATGGATAAGAGACAATTGACTTATTTTTGGTTTAAATTATATTTAACAAAACCAGGAACATGCGGTCTCTTTATCTATCTGGTTTAGAACAATGAATTAACGAAAATAATACAGCACATATACACATTGATGGCATGCATCTGTTTCGGTTACAAAGCGATTGATTTGGTTTTCTTCCTCAACTTGCAAATTTATACGTACACAAATCAAAACAAACACATTTATAAAACGTAATAAGGAAGTTATTTATGCGTCGACTAATCATGAACATCCAAACAAATGATAAATAGTTTTAAGTGTATAAAGAAAAATTGTGTATGGTCAAATTGTGAATATGTCAAAGGCAAAATACACGATGCATACTCATATACTCAGTGTCTGTTTCTCTGTCACTCTCTTTCTATTTGTTATTACTATTGCCCTCGTAACCCTGTTTCCATCAAATCCTCCACCGATAATTTCACGGGTATTTTGCATTTGTTTATTATCCATTTGGCTATTGATGTGTTTTGATATTAGGTCAAATTTCCGTTGCGTGCGCGTACCGGAATTCATACACATACGTACTGGCATTAGGATAAACAGCAATCACACATTAAAAGTCTATATAAGTGCATTACACACATACACAATTCAAAGTCATGTATTTGACTCAATCATATAGGAATTTTAATAACTTTTTATGTGTGCTTTGTTATTCTAAGCTATAATTTATAAATGAATCTATAATTAAAACTAACAGGTTCTAATTGATTTTCAAGCTTACAAAGCGATTAACTATTTTCCAATTACATATAAAAGTTCACCCCTTGAACTGGAATGAATTTGAAAAAAAAAACAGCAACAACAACAACAAGAATTATAAAACAACAACAAACACTCGGCGTTTATTGCACAATGGCTAATCGCATAGTGCGTCACAAGATAATTGTTGTAATTATTATTAGAGCTAGCTAAGTGCGTGTTTGAACGAAATCGGCGAGTTAAAGTGTGAGATAAAATAAAATCGTATAAGTGGAAAATCATAAAAATCATTTATCCAAATGAAAATTTGAATTGAAAAACCTAATAACATAACAAATTCAAACATTTGAAAGTACCGTTTCTTTATGTTCCTTTCAATTTTCTATCTCTTTCACTCTGTTTTTCTATGATTCCATACAATTCATTCTCTTTTTTTTCAGCGTCTCACACCAAATTTCCAAGTTTCCATACCATATTTTACCACCATGTTCTTTCTTTTCATACTGTATTTGTGAATGTCTTATCATTGCCATTTTTTGATCGCCTTCGGTCCAATATTTCTTCAATGGAATTTTATCAGCCGATTTTGATCCTCGCTGAATTGATCAAATTGGTCGTTACGTTTGATACATATTGTTGGTGTAAATATTGAAATGACGCAAGATACGCTATCTGTGAGGCATCAAAGCTTTTTGCTGATAGCTTGTATTACGAAACTCTCTTTATTTTGTGCATTTTTCATGTCTTTTTGTATTTTTTCTCGTCTAGGCCTTTTCACCATTGTGATTCTATCAAGAAAGAAAAACAAAGAGAACAATGAACGATGATGAAATTCATATGCACAACAAACAAACCATAAACTATTGATCACTTTAGAAAATCAAGAAAGAATCTCTCATTATCTTCGACTCACCGACAACACAGTCACAACCACCGCAAAAAAAGAAAAAAAGACACGACCAAAAAACGATGCTGTATCCACTGCAATTGATTGTCGATGGAACTCAAATTTATCGAGAGAAAAAAAACACAATGTAGTACAAAAAGTCGACTTGTCGTTTCAAAGCATTCGGCCAAACTGAATGCAGTTGAGAAATTCGATTTCTTACGTCGTTAGTTTGTGAATGTTCTGTTTTTTTAAAATAAAAACAGAAATAAACACAAAATGATCTCCCGGTACCATTCTTTTAGCTTTTCAAACAGTTCATCAACATCTTTATCGTGGCGCTTGTGACAAATTCTTAATCAAACTCATGTCGTTGTTGTCGCAACTTCATGTCCAATTTAGCTTCTCGGACGAACTATCTCGAGAACCACACGATCCACGATTAAAACAAAAAGAGATGAAAACAAATGATGCGGTTGGTCGGGCAAGATTTTCACTGTGATACAAAACAATTTAATCCTTTTCGCATTGTCCACGGAATAAAATGATAATTTTTTCTAGTTTCAATATAAGAAATACTTTGTTCTGTCTGAAAGTAATTGATGAAACTTCTGCTCTTGGATTTTATGTGAAACAAACAAAAAACAATTCTCGAAATAACATGAAGAAGAAGAAGAAGAACACTTCTCACAGTAAGAATGATTTTCTTGGTTTGATTATTCCCAATTCGAATTTTCATGTGGAATAGCATTTGTTTTCGCATTTTTGGACGGAAAAAACTCGATATATGGTGTGTCCAAATGCAATGCATCTTTTGTGTTTCTTAAGCTCACACACTTCAGATGCGATTTTTGTTCATTTTGTACTTGGATTTGAGTTTTGTGAGTTTTATTTAACTCTTGGACAAACACATGTACACAACATTCACTCACACAGCTTACTCAGTATTACTGCAAACAATCGAGTTATGAAGATCGTTCGTAGCCTTGACGGTTGAAAATGTTTTACACTTTTGTATATTACGAATTCTTTATTTTAACAGAGATGCTAACACAAAAGTGTCAAATATTTTCGACGATGTTAATGTAAGGCAAAAATAAATAAATAAATAACTTATAGCCCAATTATCGATACATAACATTTAGGACAAATATATTTTTGATTATAATTCACTCATGTGCTTGCAAATGTGATCACTACATGTATTTTGAAGGATTAAGAGAATATAGCCAAAGGGATTTGGGAAGAATCACAACGCCCAATCCAAATTTCAGCCGCAATACGATGTCCATGATTAATTTTTGATTTGCTGTCATGCAAAAGTCCAATACATAATTCCGCTACTCCGTTGATTTCTATGTATCTTAGCGCATTTCTTCGGAATTGAATATCGCATTTTGTTTCTACTTTAAAATTAAAATTCAGCCTAATCATCTCGTTTATACTCGGGCATTGCCAATTTGAAAATAAAACTAAAAAAAAAATTATATAAAAAATATTGTTTATTCATGTCGTTTGTTACAATTAACACCAACAAATAAGTTAAGAGGATCAAAATTGAACACTACCAACAACAACCAGATCCGTCTTCATACCATGTATAGTATGTTTTCAAAATTATGTGTTTTCCAGGTCCTCCAGTGGAAGTTGGCGTCACAATGTATGTGCTGTCGATCAGTTCCGTTTCCGAAGTTCTTATGGTACATACCTATCTCTCTCTCTTCTCTCTCATTTAAAATTACATAATTTACCAAAAAAAAAAACTTAAATAATAATTTCCAAAATAACTAGCCCAGATACCAAGTCTTGAATATTGTTCATTTTGCGTATTATTATTTTCTATCCTTTAAAATGTCGTAATTGCAACTTATAACATACTGTTTTACGTAACAAACCTCTTGAATACAAAAAAAAAAGATTTTGAATGTCTATGAAGTATTGTGTTTTATTGATTTATACAAAAAAAGCATACATTTAATCATGCATAAGTAATGAAAGTACTATACAGAGAATATTTATCTGCAGGCTTAGGATGTTGATCGTGTGTCTCGTTCGAGTAAATGTCTAGTCGGTTGGCCTTTTGTCCGTTTGATTTTTCCCAAAATACATAAGACATGAGTGTGTGTGTGTGTGTATGTGTGTTATTCGCTCGACAAGTGATCCTTTTGCCATCGTTTTAAGATTTTGATTTGAATTTATGAAACGCACCAGATTTTCAACCACACACATGCCGTTAGTGTCGTCCGTTCGCTCACATTCCATTCCTTTAGAGATCAATTTGCAATCTCTCACGCGCGCGCGGCATACTCATACGGTCACACATATTAGACCTTTACGACAATTCGACATTCGATTGATATCCTAGATTGGTTTAATTTAGTCTCTCTTTGTTTTATGTCACATACACACATATTTATTTATAAGAGCCCCGATAACTGGAAACAAGAAACTGCAAACAGCATTCAAAGTCCCAAACCCCCCTCAACCACAACAACAAAAACCATACATATTTGTCTATGAGAATATGTACTCTATGATATAAGCGTGTTCATATTAATTACATCATTAATTTTATATGTCTGTATTTATTCATTAAATTTTCTCTCTATCTCTCTGGGTATTAGAAAACACAACGTCGTATGTTCATTACGTTTTTATTTCTTTCGATTGAACGATCGTTCTCGACTCTTACTTTTTCGTGTTTTCATCTCTATCTCTCTCTATCTCTCTCTCTCTCTCTCATACACACACACTATCTCATTTTCTTTTACAATCCTCACATTGCAAAATCGTTTCATTGAATTCTTTTGTTTCACTTCAGTTCCGTTTGGCGCCATGCAAAAATAAAGAGAAAAAAATATGTACACAATTGGAAATTGACTAAACACCTGAAAAAACAAAATTCCAATTCTAAATTATTTGTTTCACTAATTGTAATCGTTCATTAATACGTTTGGAGTAATATTATTCATATATGTTGTCAATGTTGTGTGAATTCATTATTTTGTGTTTTAGTTTATATATTTAAAAAAAAAAAAAAAAACAATGCAAAAAAGCAAAACATTAACAGCAATCATCCGATTTTTTTGTTCAAAATTATGATTTTGTTGAATTTCTAGTTGTTATGAAGCTGAAAGGCCACATGAATAACTCGAATGTTTTACAAAGAAGATTCGTCTCCCATGTGTTATATATATGTATATGTGTGTGAGTCTCAATTGCACTTTATGGTCGAGTGAAAATCGCGTAAATTTTTTAATTATTACAGTGCCTTAAAGTGTTCGTCTGTACATCAATCATCAAATGACAACGGCACTTATGTTATTTTATTGTCGCATTTTCGCTGTATAATTCTTGCCATCGTAGATAATCCATAAGACAATTGCTTTTTTTACTGACTCATTCAATGGCACTGAGATGAAAATGTTGGAAAAAACACGCACAAGAATGACGCGATAATAAAAACGTACGCGTCGCACACACACATATCTATATAGATACATATAGTTGAGACAATGATCAGCGGACATTCGAAGGAAATTTGTCATTTTCATTTGTTACAGTTTTCTTTTCATTCTGCCGTTTTTCTCTTCGGTTGTGCTTTCATTGGACAGTAATAAAAATGTGATTGTGAAGAAAGACCATTTGATGCAGAGCGAATGAAGATATGTTCAGTTGTAAATAAGTAATTTACAATTTACGTGTTTTTCATACTGTCTCTTTGCTAAAAATGACTAAACAAATCACATGCTAACGATAACTGTCCCATTCACAATCGAATACATATATTCTCGCTTACGCAACATTGGATGAAAAGAAAATTGCAAATTTGATTTTATCATTTTCTTTGTGTTCAATTGGTGTTTTCTTTTTGAATGCAAAGGAACCTGCTTTAATTGGACGTTCGTAACCTATTTAATATCTATTTAACCATTTTGATTGGACATTTCTTCTTTTTTTACCACTAATTTGGTTTGAAAACATAATAAACGAGCTCCTTTTTTCACCTTTTCAATTCGGCAAATTAAATAATTTTTATTTTTGGTTTCTCTTTTTTTCCATCTTTCGTTCGTTTGAAAATTTTATTTTCGGTTTAATGGTCGGCTCTTGCGAATGGCATTTCGACTGTGATATTGAAATTGGATATTATCAAAAGCTCGGCTCTCGAAATGATTAGGTAATTTAATACGATCCCAGTGGAACGATGTCTAGATGCAATTCTCATGGGTTAATAACATTCATCATATCACATAATATTCCAAATTAACAACCAACCAACCAACCAACCCCACGATAAAAAGAATTCAACCGACCGACTTGAAGTTTTAGTATATGTTTATTTATATGAAAATCCTGATACATAATATATACAAAATAATCTCTGATTTCAAGTGACCTCCCTCTCCGTTCTCTCAGCACTTCGTAAATTATTTAGAGAATTATCAGTTTTCCGTTCCATTTAATAATTTTCGGTTAGTAAATCAAATATGTATAAACATCGTTTAGCCGTCATTTACTTTCCCGAGAATGAACAAATGAATGAATAAATGAATGTATGAATGAGTGATCGGAGTATACTGAGAGTGACATATAGATTATCATCTATCATGATGACAAACATTCGAAAATTGATACGATGAAAGGGTGTATGACTTCATTAAATTGAGTTATTTGTGGTGTTCATTGGACAAAAGTTTCATGACATTTTATGGAGCGCGCCTGATGTTTGTGTGTCTGTACCCTCGTTTACACTTCAATCGAAAATATTTACACACACAAACATATCATTGGATCAATATTTTTTTTTCATGATTAAATTTCACATAAGAGTCCATTTTCAATAAAATAACATTGAATTTCACTCGAACATTTGATACAGTTTATGATTAATAGACCAAAGTAATATGTGCTCATATTTTTTCCATTCAGATGATTCTGTCCATACTAGTTCTGAACACAAAATGAATTTATATCATTTAATTTGGAATTATTTAGCTAGTATCAATTTCCTTCACACTCATGCACATTTTCATCTTTAACAACCGATCTGTTGTATGTATCATCTTGGCTACTCTAGTATTTCATTCGTCTCATTTAAAGCTAACGTTAGGTACAATATTAAGACCCAAATCGTACTATTACCCTGCATTTTCTCTCTTCCTGACATCATTTTTGGGTGGAATTTTTCATTTTTCCATGTGAAAATGGAATCCTGAACCGAATTTTATAGATATACATATCACCAATTGAAACCTACACACACATATCACGGGGGACGGCAATACCAACATAGATATACACATATTTATATGTGATATGTATTTTTGCGTCACTCTATATACTGTAAAGAAATGAAATTCGTGATGAAGGTCCGCAGGACCGGGCTACCGCCATATTTAGATAGCGTCTGGGGCCCTTATGAAGGATCCAGCAAAACATTTCGAAAATCAAAAAACTTGACCGCTAGGTGGCGCTTCAAAAAAATGGTAAATTTTTAGTTTTGTCCATTTTTGACCACCCAAACCAGAAACAATTTTCCGAAAAATTGCATATTCCGAAACTAGAGTTCGGGTAGATAGTGTTGAGTTTTTTTTGTTGGAATCGATCATTCCAAAAAATCTTTCGAAAATTCTCCAAATTTGTGAAATGGTATGTTTGTGTGTCCGCATTTTTTTCCGAGACATTTCTTAAATCGCCGGAAACTAATTCTATTCGAAAGTAGGAGGAAAACTGAGCATACATGTCTCTTTAAATTTTTAAATTTGGTTGCGTGAGTGCCTAAGGCATGGATTCGAAAAATGTTCGGACGCACTTTTTCAAATTTTCAATTGGAAAAAGCGTGTATTTGGCCGACCTTCTTTTTAAGATTTTTTTAATAACCAAGTACAACATGTCAGGATTTTATAATTTTTGTTTCCTTTTTGTATCCTTTTGTTTCAAAATTTTACAAAAACAATTAAAAATTTCGAGCGCAAACAGAAAACTCTAATTTAATGTAAAAACAAATGATATAAGTACAAAACACTTCTTTGGAAGTTCCCACTGTGACGCAATACCGGACATCTGAAAATGATCTGATATAAATTTTCAGTGACGCTTGTAATGAAATACATCAAAAAATTTAATATTGCGCTGCCTCTCACACAAAAAAAAATGAAATGCAAAACAGGAGGGAGAGAGAGAGGCAACGTAATATTACATTTTTTGATGTATTTGATTACAAGCGTCACTGAAAATTTTTATCAGATCATTTTAAGATGTGCAGTATTGCGTCACAGTAGGAGCTTCCAACGAAGTGTTTTGTACTTATATATATAAAAGAATTATACAACTGCTCGTTTAAGGCCAATGCGACTTTTACTACCCGTATTAGAAGAATTCACGCTTCGTGTACAGTCGGCACATCTGCGCTGCTTAGGCGAATGTCATCAGTAGAATGCACTGCGACATGTTCAAAAAACATCAAGTAGCCATATGTAAATGTTTCATTTTCTTTTGTGCGAACTTTCTTTGACTGTGTATGGCTGTGAGCAAACACATGCATTAGATGCACGACAGTTCGCAGTGAACTCAAAGGATGATATTCCGTAAAGCAGCGATGTGCCGAGTGTACACGAAGCTTGAATTCTTCTAATACGGGTAGTAAAATTCGTATTGGCTTTAAACGAGTGAGTTGAATCAGAAGCAGATATAGATGAACAAATTATAGCATTTTTAAATTAATATCATCATCATCATTAAAAGTGTTCCAAATGTGTTTTATCCTCGGTTGTTGATTTCTCTATAGTTGTAAGCGATCATGAAAGACCTTAGCTATATTAAAAAACAAAGTTTAGAGCTATCAATCGAAACAAACGATTACAAAAAACAAGTGACAAAATCAAAATGTAAAATGAAATAAAACACACATACACACAGGCAAAAATTTAATGCCAAAGCTAAAGCAAGACCAAAACGATCAACTCTATACTCATGATATATAATTATATGTATTGTTTATATAAAGGATATTGTATTAATTGTTATCTGTTCTGAAAGCCTAACGTCCCGAGATATGTGCCAAACATAGTGTCAATGTTCCGGCGAAACGAAAACTGCAATCACAACAACGTCGTTTTGCTCTTAGTCTATTTAAGCCATTGTTGTTCGTTTTTCGTTCATTCTTCTGAGTCTTATACGATTCGTATCTGTTTGCCTCTTACGTTATCATTCTGACTCGTTCGATCTATCTCTGTATTCTCCCACTTTCTATCTTTCTCTCTCTCTCACTCCATCATACACACACTCTTCCTTCATATTATATCGCAGTCGTTTCCGTTTGCTGATCGGTTCGTTGGAAAATGTTTGACGCAATGCTTGGAGCATATCGACGGCCCATCAAATATATTTATTATGTTTACGTACAACATTTTGGGTAAAGGAGACCAAAAATCGTGGAGTGGAAAACCAAATCATGGTCAAAAAAATATAAAGTCACTGCGAGACGTGACCCATTGCCCGCCGTCTGTTACATGCGTTTTTCCGAATTCTATTTGCCAAAATGAAAAAAAAAGTTAAACAACAAATAAATCAAAATAAAAATCTATTTATAATCATTTAAACCGTGTGCGATAAGCAAAATCGAGTTTGAACTGAAAATCAAACACTCTGACACACAAATAAATCAAGACTTGTTACATATATACACATATATTATTTCAATTAAAATGAAAGAAATGAAAAATAAAAACACACTAAGAGACAAAGTGATTCCTACCTCACTCACATCGCTGTGAGCGGGGTAGGTGACGAAATTTTCATTTATTTCTGTGATACTTTTTATTGTTTTTCATTTCGTTACTTTTTTTATTTTGTTTGGTTTTTTGTTTATGTATTTGCTGTGAGGTTTCATTTTGATACATATCATTTTTTATTTAAATCGAATATTGAACAGCCAAAGTCATCAATATATGCTCGTTTGATCAATTGCTGTAGTTTTTTTTACTAAAATTTGTCAACAAAGAAGCCAAAAGAAGAGTCAATGATAAGTTTTCTTGCCTTTTTTTGTCTATCTCAAAATCTTGTTATTGTCCTTGATCAATGCCAACCGCAATGAGTACTCGCATTTCAAGCATTCTGAATATTCAGTCGTGACACCATTTATTTTAAGCTGATTTCGATATCGAAACACAATTCTGTTTGGTTTGTTTTTGTCTTTATTACGGTCTTTCGTTTTATTTTTGAATACACCAGAGTTTGTACAATCTCTGCTACAAACAAAACTAGCTCGTACATGCAGGCGAACGTATAGTCGGGAGCTTTTTTCACGCAGTTTTGAGAATCAAGTAAAATTAATGTGATTTTACACCGTTTCAATATTTGTTCAATCAATTAGCTTCTCTATTTCTCTCTTTCTCTATCTCTCTTCATTCGAAATTTCCATTTATTGTTTCATTTAATTTGGCACAATAAATTATCGGAACGATGACCTTTTTGATTGTTTAACATTTTCTAATTTTGTTTGTATTACAGTCGAGCCATTTATTGTTGTTATTTTCTGTGTTGAACTATTTCACCGTTTCTGTTGATCTGACATTTCATTGTATATTTGTACATTTTGTGTAATATGTCGTTTGTATTGCTGTTTAATGTGCATTGTGAATATATTATGTGGTGTATAAATTAGATGTTTTCTTGTTATCTTCTAAAATATATGTGTGTTTTTTTGTGTAGTATGTGTTCCTTGTGTGTGGCTAGAACATTTTCTTTTCCAACAATTTTAATGAACAAACGGTTGAGTTGAGTTTGGTTTTTTTCTTATCTCAACTTTTTTTTCTCCTTCTTTTTTTCGTCACTTTAGTTTTTGATTGGATTTTCGTTATATTTATATATTTTCAATGGTTTCGACCAAAACAAACACAACGAAAAATGATTTATGTGCGTGAATGCGCCACTTGAATCGTCATAGTGTTTTATTTATATATATTTTTTAACCAAAAACAGGTAGCTGATTTGAATACGTATATTGTGCTAAATATGTGAACGAAATCGAAACTATTTCCTCTATTTCGAATATGATATATGCATAGTGCTGGCCATTTTTTTATGTTCTTATCCATTGACAAATAAAGACGAAATAGATTGATCAAAATGAAATCGATCAACTTAAATATTTTGTTGATTTATGAGCGCCTGATGTTTGCAAACACATAGACAGACATACAGTATCGATGATTCACGATGGATGGGAGAATGAAGTGATTTGACGAAAAGGCAAACATTCACAAGCACCACACACTAACGCGCCGCACCATAACCGAATCCAAACCAAAAAGAGAAAAATAGCAGCAATGCATTCTTAACGTTGCTGAAAAGTTGAACCGCAAACAATAAATAACGATGATAAACCGAACATACGAATCAGAATAGAAAAGAAAAATGAATCGATTGGTATTTTGAAATTCCTCTTTTTTTTCCCATTGTCGTCATATATAAATCATATGAAATGATTATCATTTATAGAAGAGTGGAAGTGGGATAGAGTGAACGACAGAGTAGGGTGAAAGAGTAAAAGTGTGTATGTTCGAGAGACATGAAGAAAATCGAGACCGAGTTCGATTTAAGTAAACAATGGCTTAAATTTAAAACTATATGCATGACGTATATGTGTATACGGTTTCGATGAGTCATCCGAATGAATGATGCCTTGTGCTCATGAAAATCAATCGAAAAGCAAATATTATTTGCCGTCATTGTGCCATTCCATTTTCCAAAACAAGTTCACACAACACACATGCTATCACTCTTTCGTTCTTTCTGCTCTTCGTCGATCTCTATCTCGGTGTGTTCAATTCTCAAGCTCACTAAAGAGGCGCCCAAGTACTTGAATTTAAGGTACACACACATACACATACAAATCGCTTCATTCACCTTCGCACAGTCATCGTATTCATCATGTAGAGTAACGATAAGGACGACGACAAAAAGCACACATTAACGCAAATAAATTTGTCAAAATATATATCCCACAATTTGGCGGGTGAATTTCCTCTTTCCACTTGGTTCGTTTTTTTTTGTTGTTGTTGATTACACTGAACCGCGTGTGCAACATTCGTGTTATTTCCCTATTTCGGGGAATATAGAAGAAGAAGAAGAAAAAAACAGCAACATTTCTGTATCCAAGTTTTCTATCGTTATTTTAAATATTTGCTATAGATTTTATTTCTGTTATTTTTTTATAGATAATTCATTCATCGACCCCGTCTCCTTTATTTTTCTTCTACTTCACTATACACTTTCGGTTTGTTATTTTGTGTTCATTTTTGTCTCGTTCTTCGTTTTTCTCTTCAGTTAATTTTTGGTCTTTTTTTCACTCTATCTCTTCGTTTATTTTATGTTTTTGATCTACTTTTATTGCCGATATGCATGAAAAAACTCACTCACACGAGTTTTGCACGACTTTCAAAGCTAAACACATATTCGCGTTTTAGTTTCATTTTTCTCTTTATTTCTATGTTTTGCTTGTGAAAAGTTTCGCTTGCATGTTTCGCCACACACCAAGAATGGGTTCGCTATAGAAATGAAAAAGAGTTAACAAAAGAAACTAAATGCTAATATAATAAAACACGGACTTACTAAATGTATAATACACGCATACACAAATAAGTGCATACATTTATTCTGTGTTTTATTCTCTCTTTCTCGTTGTCGTCGTTTATTTTTATGTTGAGTTATGTAGAAAATTCAAATTAGATTCTAAACCATGTATACATGTGAATTGTAATTAGGAATGAACGAGCATAAATAAAGAGAAAAAAAACACATATATACCACTTTTTTTCTCTTCGCAAATAAATGCTAAAATAAACATTTAATTTCACATACAAATCAATCATATGCTGAGAAAAATGCAACACAAATAAAAAAAACAAACAAACAATAACCATGAACGATTATAAATCACCAACATATGAATCATATTTTATATTACAAATTTAATCGGAGCATTTAAATATTGATTGGAATCGCATATTCGACTTTTTCCCTCGTACCGTTTTGCGCGTGCATGTTCAATTGCACGTGGTTTGCATAACGAGACTCTACCTACGAAAACGAGAGACAAACTTTGCACATAGTGACACGAGACAAATGGCGCGTTATTTATTTTGCATCAATTCCGTTTAATTGTGGTTACAAAGCGAGGAGGAGAAAAAAACATCAATATCAAATGCTCCGATTGTATTTGGACATTTGGCTGTCACTAGTACTAAAATAGCACATTCCCAAAACAAAAGTAGATTTAATTAGGAAATATCTTTTGTTTTTCCAAATGTATTTTTCACCCATTATCCCACATTTGTGCAAGTATTTTCCCATAGTCAATTTCATTCCATTATTTATTTATTTTTTATTCAACTCAATTTTCTTAATCGATTTAATTAAAATAGAAATTAAAAAAATCAGCACTCTCGATGATAATGTTACTAATTCAATTTCATCTCTTTTTCTCTCTTCACCCTCTCTCTTCTTTTGAAATGAATGTCTTGTTTTCTTTTTGTTTTTTATCTAAAATACAAAACGATCAATTATTCATGAAACTAAATAAAATCAATGAATAAACACAACTTATGTGCTCTGTGATGCTATGAACCCACGCATGTCGGTGATGACTACCTCTACGATGATGGCAACCGTACACACAATAGGATTTTACGCTGGATATGTATTTTCGTCAGTTTTGGACTGATCCACGGTTGGCATTTCAAAAGAAAACCGGCGTCGAAACGTTGTCAGTTGGATCCGATTTTATCAAAAATATCTGGGTACCTGATACATTCTTCGTGAACGAGAAACAATCATACTTCCACTTTGCGACGACAAGTAATGAATTTATACGTGTTCACCATTCAGGTTCCATAACAAGAAGTATACGGTAAGTTTTTTTTTTCTTAACCATTGAATGTTTTTTTTTCTCGATTAAATTTTCCGAATCTGCTTTTCGGTAGACATATATGAATAGTGTTAATGTACATACATTCGATTCAATTGCGATGGCATTTCGCGTTTAGCCCATTCATATACAAACAAAATTTATGTGTATGCAGGTGTAAACAACGTGAACCATAGTCACCGCACATCGTTCCACACATATGTTAATCAAACTAAAACCGAGTCAACCAAACGAGAGAAATAGCAAAAACCTGGCAAATAAACAAACAATCAAGCTATAGAGGCAGCAGCAACAGAGGAGAAAGAGCACCACAACAACAAATCAATATTCCATTCGTATGCAAATATTTGGCATTTCTATAATATGAGCTGAACACACAATCAATTTTTCCGTTTTGTCAAGAAGGACGCGCGTGCACACTGCACACACATACACAACACGTCAGCCCACTCGTACTGATGATTGTGTATTGTTAATCTTTGAGTAGCCTAACTTGCTATCTCTCTTTCTCTCTTTCTTTTGGCCCATTTTCCTCAAATCAAACAGATGAATACACACGCATTTTCAGAATCACTGCGAAACAAAAGAGAGAGAGAGAGAGAGAGAGAGAGAGAGAGAGAGAGAGAGAGAGAATTGAATTGGCATTCTGAATTGCGCGATATTTACTTACCGATATACCGAATACGAAACGCACACCGATAGGCATTTCGGTAAAATGAAATTGTAAATACAGGTGGCAAGTAAATAAATCATGGTTTCGAACAGAAATCACTCATTCAAATGTTTTTCTAGCACGGCGTGCAACAAAGAAAACTGGAAAAACCAAAACATTCGACATTCGACGACGATTTTGTGTGTGACACATCTCACTGATGGCATACACTGTAAGAACGAATGAATGAAGGAAAAAGGACACGTGAAACATTCCATTGAATAGAAAGAAGCAAGAATCACAATATTTATTTTTTCATAGAAAGTTCGACCCACACACAAGCCACAAATAAACATTTTTATATCCATTTTTTTTCTTCGTTTTATCGTTGTGTTTTGTTACACTACTCGGGAATGGTATTCAAATCAAGCAATCTAGCAATGTATAAAAAAACGGACGCAATTTAAACAACAAAAAGAGAACGACACCAAAATAGAATGTATACAGATAATCGTAATGAAGCTGCATCCAAATAAAGAAATCAGCGCCCAATCATCAAAATGTAAACGTAGTACAGACGCACGCAACGACATTTTTTATATACAAAAAAAAAATATCACGCAAAACAATTCATTTGAATGCAACGTGAATATTTCTTATATTTGTACACGCCTCACACGTCAACAGAAAAATCGGTAATTCTTTGGCCGGAAATTAATCTACTCAATGGAAAGAGCGTAAAACAAGCGACATCGCCATCGTTACCATTTGCCTCAAAGTATCTTTTGTGAGGAAAACGTCTCCTTTCAACCGATTTGGTGACGTTCATTTTGTTTTTATTTTTTATTTTTTGTCGTTGCTAGCCAACAAAGATCTGTCGATCGGTGTTGTAAACATATTCGATGCCAAGCGTAAAGGGCGTTTCGCAGAGAAAGAAAAGCGAGAATGCATGATTCTTTTGATGCTGACGTTGTCTTGATGTTTATTGCTTTGTTTGTTTATTTGCCTGTACGCCCTCACTCCCAATTTCCATCGGTGAAATTTCCTTAAAACGTGCCTTTTTTTCTCTTTTGAATATCGTTTTGACGAACCTTATCTGCCAACATATTGTCATTTAATAATGACACAAAACGAAAGTGGAAGCTTCGAATGGCACACACAAACAAACATACAAAGCACAAAACTACCGCTAAACTGAAAAGTAAATGTCGGAACGAACAATTTTCATTGAATCGAGGATTTTTCGGTGTTCAGAGCAAAATATTCATGGAACATTTTGTGTACATTACAGATGTCACATCAATGAATATGGTTGGTATTTGAAAACAAACAGACAAAAGAACTTAAAGCAGCAGAAGAAGAAGAAAATGTATTACGAAATGAAATAAAATGGATCTGTCTTTTTCTTTGTGCATTGATGTTAGTTCACAAGCTTTGCGCGCATACGCACACACAATTAAGACGATGAAAGAGACAAACGGATTCATTTGGACGGATATGGTGATATTCATGCTCTATGCCACACGCGATTATCGTTGGGGCAGACAAGAAAATGGTTTGCTCTTTTTCATCGGCACATATATCTTGGTGTGTTTGTCGCAATAAAAATGTGACGACGGAATAATTGAGAGTTGAATGAAATGACTGCACTTAATATGGAATCCATGTCAGAGGTGTTGCTGACAGCGACAAATTTTTCCTCTATCTTCATTCTCATTTCGACTTTATGTTGTCGAAAGAAAGAAAAGCGAAAAAGAGTGTGTCGTTGTGATGATGTTGCCGCTGCTGCTGTTGCTGGTGTTGAAAATGAAAATCCAGCAGTCATAGTTAAATGTAATTTTGCATCGTGCAATTTTTCCTATCTCTGTCTCTTGTCATTCGTCAAACGGTGGCGCATACACAGCGCGTTTTTCTCCCGGGTTCCGTGGCATGCAACAGTATCTTTGGAATCTGCTGTTTGTTTTTTTTTTATTGAAGGTGGAGAAGATTGGTTAAAATTGGCGCAAACGATTTTTATGATCCAGCACTAATGTAATTTACTAAAAATCCTATAGGGGAAAATTAAAATCTTACATCAGATTATTGAGGAAAATTTATGATTCAAGTATGTCTTGATGCGCTCACACGAGAAACCAGTTTTATATAGCATGTGTGTGTCTTGTCTTTTCTATTCGCGCACTGAATTTATGGCTTTTCGTCATCCATGTGACAGTTGTCAGTATTGTGATCAGCAACGTTTTTAAGCACGCTTTCGTTTCAAGTCGTATCAAATTAAGTGATGTACGATATGGTGGATTACGCGTTGTTGATATCATTATACACAGAGTTTGGCATAAGCTCTTTTTCTTGTGCTCTCTTTATATCTCTGTATCTCTATCTCGTATTTCCGTATAATTTACTGTCATCGAATGCGGTGTTAAGATTGGGTACGGTGTGTCGAATGAAAAAATAATAATTGACGAAAAAATAAAAGAAAATGTGAAAATTGAGAAAGTTATACTTGAACAGCATGTCATTAATTCGTTCGTGAAGTGGTACTGAAACGCAAATGAACATGGCATATTGCAATCGACGTGAATGTAGACAACGCAATTTGAAAAATTAATGAAACGATGATCCAGTTGATCTATGTGAAGTGCGCACATCCTTAAAACATAGTAATAGCAATAACAATGACTATGCTCAATTTTCAAGCTTTAAGCAAATCGTTTTATCGATGCAAACACTTTACCTTGTCATTCAGTTTCACCAGCCAACATCATACACACAATACACATTCGTATACATATATTAAAGACATACATTTTAAATTATGTTAAAAGCTCACATTTTTTCGAAGTAGAACATACAAAATGCGTCATAATAGCAACTTATAAGTGTACTAGTTACTCGCGTCAAAATAATATTTCGGTCTTATGAAAATCTTATTCATAATTAATGTTGCAGCAAATTGCTATAATTTTGATATGGAAACTATCGAGACAATGTGTGACAACAAGCATTCATTTTCAATGAGGAGCATCCGAAAATGGCAACACCATCAACGAGCACACCACAACATAATATCATACTGCGATTGAACGTGCATGTTCGGAGAATGAAATCGAGAGAAAAAAAAAACACCAAATCAAGTAGTAGTTTTTTTTAGCAATTATCAACAATTTGAAATTTTAATTTGCAGGTTAACAATTACGGCATCGTGTCCAATGAATCTAGAATATTTTCCAATGGATCGACAGCTATGCCAAATTGAAATTGAGAGCTGTAAGTGTTTCGTTTTATTTTTCTATCAATTTTCATCTATTTATATTAACCATCTAAAAATATATGCATAGTTTTACATAAGCATTAATATGGTCGAATGTCGATGTTGAAAGAGAAATATGTGTGCGGTGAAGTGTTTTATTTTCGCATCAATAATCCTGTTTTTCTTTCATTTCGTATATTTTTATTGAATATTAACAATCGCAATTTGTATCAAATTGAAAATAATATTGCAATATTACGAGGAACAATAAACACTAAAATTAGCGAAAACAAATGAAAACAACAGGAAAACAACACGTGAGTGTGTATTTGTGAAGAATTTATTCATTTTTTCTCTCGCTTGGATCCAGATTTGCTATGACTCAAAGAGTACTGCTCTCTTCAACTTTGCCAAACAAAAATACACCCACCCACACAAACACACATTGCATCACTTGCAAACACGCCGACGACACACATTACTTTCAACAACGACATTTGAATTGTCAAAAATCATGAAGAACTTATAAGCATATATAAATATGTTACATACATAAACTATTTATTTCCGTTTATAGTTTGATTTTGTTCTTTCTGAATAAATTTCATAAAGATATTTGAGATGTTCCACATATTTGCTGCTGTTGAAATTTGGCGCATTCGATTAAATGTTTTGGCGTATTTGTGTTGCATTACTTCTTCTTCTTCATCACCATCGTTTATTTCGATCTATCGTTTTATTTTCTGGTTAAAAATTGCAACTGCAATACTCTTAATATTCACCGTATAGTGGTGTCGTGATAAACATTGCACACTCAAAGACTTGTTTCAACAGCAACAATTGTGTGGACACAACATTTACTCGATATAACATTTTATTTTTCCGTTTGTACTTGTTTTTTTTTTCGTTCCGAAACTTAAGTTAAGCGATTTACAACAGAGTAAAAATACAAGAAAACTAAAAAGAAAACCGAAGAAAAAACAACAACATAAGAATAAGAAAAGAATCTTAGAAGAGAAAATATAAGAAAGTAAAAAAAAAAATCGAAAATTTATAAATATAAATCGAAAGAAAGGAAAATCGTTCCAACGATAAACATGTAGACATTTTTCTATTTTGTACTGAACAGTGTTTTTCTTTCATGCCGAAATGAATTGCTTCAATTGCAATTTCTATAGTATATACATATTACCGTTTCGCTTTTCAATTATTCATCTGTTCAGTACCATTGTGTTTTTAGGTATATAGATTAACAAGGGTAGACAAAAAAAAAACAATCGTTTTGCATCTTCCACATAAAATCCGGTGCAAACAGTGAAAATCATAACAATCAGTTTCGTATAGTAATCGAGATCAGGATAGTTTTTGTATTGTTCTATTGAATATAAGATAGCCGTTTATTTAAGATTTGGCAAGAATTAAAAGTCGACATTTTACTTGGAACAAAATAGTGACTACATTCACGACCGAAAGATAATTTAGGGTCAGATGTATTACCATAAGATAATTATTTTTCTTGTGAAATATAAAAGAGAATGCATAACAAGTGCAAGTATATTATGTTAAATTGTTCTAGAGAAACAAAAGAAACGAGAAACATCTTATTATGTAGTTTTTGGCGTTGCATTAATTGCCATGAAATAAAATTAAATAAGTACAAAAGCCCAATAAGAAATTCAAAAGAAATAATGAAAAGCATAAAAGAAGGCAGACATTCAGGTTTGTTTTGAATAAAAAACACAATTTATAAAAATAACCATTGGAGATAGATACAAATAATAAAAAATATAAATAAATATACGATGTGATTTCGTATAAAAAGTAATGAGTTATATCCATATGCAGAACAAAACCAGATCAGATGGGTCTAACTACAAATGAATTTGTTCTCATTATTTACCATTGTGTACATGTGCATTGATCGTTCGGATATCATTTGATATGGATGATGGAGCATTTTTCACAGCTTTTGCTACTCCTTAGAAGATTTGCTGGTTTTCCATGGTTTTATCTGAACAACACGTTATTTCTATTTTTAAAAAAATTCAAATTTGCCTTCCTGCCCAAAGAGATATTAAACTTCATTCCAAATCGAATTAAATAGTAATAAATTCGGAACGTTTTTGTTTTCGAATTCATTACCAAAGTAAATCAATTCGTCCAATGATCCAATAAAATGCTGTTACTTATTGAAAATGTATGTGAACGCCCAAAACAATAGAAACATTTTGCAAATTTGCGTGCAAAATGTCATTCAGCATATGTACACAGAAGTCAAAAGCAACAGAACTCATTCGTAATTTTCTAAAAAAGAAAAAACTCTAACGAACCAACCGTAATAATAATCGAAGTAACAACGAATAAAACATTTAACAACAATTATCCCATTTGTTGTATGGAATACACGGAATATTTTCAAAAAACCATATCCAACATATCAACAACAACAAACTTCATCATATACCTTTTATTTCATTTTATCATTTTTTTTTATTCTCTGTCGGTTTTTCATTTCGTTCACATTTCCGTCGTTGGTTGACAGTTCGTCCAGTTGACTGTAATAAAAAAAACTTAAAAAGATATCGAATTGTCCGAATCACATTTTCATCCCGTCATATTGTTTATGATTTTTCAGTGTTTCATTTTTGTGTAAGTTTTACAACGAGACGAACTGTCGTCATTTTACACAACCATTTTAGTTTCAACGGCATAGTGTAGAAAATATAAACAACAAATTCTACAACAAGAGAGTATGAAACATATATATTTTTGGCTATATGTAATTAAACGGCTCTGTTTGCGATGAAACACGATTCTTTTTCCATTTTGTTCTTCTTTCACTTTTACAAGCAACAAAACAAAAACTTTTTCAGTTCTCTCTTCCCTGTGTTAAGTTTTCTTTTATTTATTTTCATTCAGCTGTTGTTTTACCCCGTCTCAGTTTTTTTTTCGCTAAAATTTTCTCAGTTTTCAATTAAGAATTTGATTCGTTAACAAATTTTCGCTGCATATATATTTTTTTTTGCTTTCCTTCTATCGTATGTTTTATTTCCGTTTAGTGACATTGGGCATTTTTCATTTATTCAACTCAATGATTTCCAATTTAAAAATGGTAAAAACAAACTCTTTGATTTTTCTTTGCTTTCAGTTCAATTTCTGTTTGTCTGTTTTTTTTTTTCGATTTTCATTTTCTTTGTTGTTTTGATTTGTTCGCATTTCTTTTGAAATTTTTCCACTTTTTTATGGTTTTTCTTCTGCGTTAATTTTGGTATTTTTTTTTATTAAAATAACAATTAACAAATAATAATAAACATATTATTGGTTGGTTTTCGGTCGCCTTCTCTTTTACAGCAACCGCAGAAGGTTGACTAAGGCTAGTCACCCGCATTAATTGCCTATTTTGGTGGATATGAAATTACATTATATAATCTAATACCTTGATTTTTATGTTGCAAATAAGGAAAAAGTACAAAAATACAACATCTAAAAACAGATTAATCCAATGAAAAAAATGGCTCTGATAACAAAAACCGTCAATATAGAAATTGGTATAAATAAGACAAAATTCGGTGTAAAGAACATTCAAGAGAAGAAAATTACACATGAATTAGTTTAGAAAAGCTTTTGTTTTATAGATCACAAATGAATGCAAATTTATTGATGTGAACTAAGAAAAAAGCAAGTCAAAAATGACAAAAAAAAAACATCACCAACTCCCGATAGACTATCACCAGCAAAATATTTTTGAACTATCTTTCTTCTTTTCATTTCGAATATTTTTAGCTCTCGCATGTGTCACAGACACCGAACAAGTAAATAGCCTCTTTAGATTGATGACATTGACAACATGTCAAAAGGGTTTATATGCTTAGCCGAGAGCGGACACGATGTGCTATTTTTTTTTTCATTTTATTAAATAAATTCAAAATTCTTAGCGATTTCAAAACATTCAAGCTGTGTCAAAGACTGAACGGCAAGCAATTAAAGTTCAATAAGTTGATATGCCTCAATAGGATAAAACAATGAATCAATTTTTAGAGAAAACAGAAGAAAACCATTGCCATTTTACTTATGAACACTTGTCAATTTTCATTTTGCACTAAACATATATCAATGTTACAATTTGCGATAAAAAGCTTCATTTTAGTTTGAACCAAAAGCAGCAACCTTTAAGCTTTACATCTTTTTTTGGTAATTTGCAATGAACACATTCGCGGTGTTGAAACATTTACGTGTACATATTTCAATAAACGGGCACAATTTGAACATATCAAGTTGGACAGGTTTAGTGTGTCAAATGTAATTTACGATTTATTGGTGTTGAGAGCTTAGATTTGTGCCACATTTTTTTGTATATACAAATTATTCAATTAAGTTTAGCATGATTAAGGAATATTTATTAAGTTAGAATGAACATAGAAAAAACCAATGCGCTTTTTTGAATACCGTAATTCGACCATTTGTATTTTGTTTTTGCGTGACATGAATAACCCGAAAAAAGCATACAAAAGCAAAGCAAAAAGAGAGAAAATTTTAAGCAGCGGCAAATCTCGTTATTGGTAATATACGATTGATAGGTACCGAGCTATATCAAAACACATATCGCTTATATTAACGAACTGTAGCGTATGTGTAGCAGAGAATTTGACGCGAACTATGTTTCAGTCGACTATTATTTTTCTCTTTCTCTATTTTTAGATGGTGTGTGTGTTTGTGTGTTGCGAATAAAGTAACCACTCGAAGATATTTATTATTATATTCCATTAGGTTTTCGCGCCCGTTTTTCTATACACACCAATATTTATGTTCAATGAGATTTTCCCACAAGTGGTTGGCAACGCGCATGGGGTCAGAAACCACGGTTGGTTAACTTGAATGCAACGAGAGAAAGAGCACACAAAAAAAATAAAGTGTATATCAGGAAAATGGTCATTTAAATCACTTTAAACCAAACGATAACGATCAGTGTCACACACACACACACACACACACACACACACACACACACACACACAC